TTTATCATATTTATTTAATTACATGTATATTATCTGTTATGGACATTGTTTGCATGATTCTAAGAACATTTTTATTACTGGGCCTATTCTTCGTACGTAGACAGAACACAGTTGAAATTGTCTTTTGTTATTTGATTATTCGCATAACAACACATTTTTGTGATTTTTTTTTTTTAAATTAAAAGTGCTACAATCCAGCCGATGGACACTGGACAGTTCAGTAATCGAAAAATGAATGAAAATATGATGCGTTTCGTATTTGTTAGCATTTTGCACTAGAAAACTATGAATGAACATATCAAATGGGGAATAAATTCATCAATATCGTTATTTATTCAACTAAATAGCTCTGAAGGAAATTTAATAATCCGATATTTATGATTTCGTCCGAGAAAGTTTTAAATGAATTTTGAAACAATTAAATAGTAATAAAAAAAACAAATAGAAAAAACTTCTACCAACGTCGATCCTCGTACCGAAAGCACAAAAAATAGTGATATCCAATTCCACTCATTAGACGATTCTTTCAATTTTTCAGACGTTTTTGTAATCAGTCATTTTCAATTTTCTACTGGAATAATTGCGATAAATATCACCCATCCTTGAGTTATCGGAATAATTCCGGTAGAAAGTTGAAAATTAGTGGAATCTCTCTTTTTCACTCCAAAATAGTGTTACGTACAAAAAAAATCCGCGCGATTTTGGTGGAATGTTTTAGAAATTCAGCCCAGATGTTCTACAATATAAATTACAATTGAGCATATTTTAATTCAGTGTCAGTATTCTGGAACATAATTCCACAAAAATCATGCGGACACATTCCGAACGATCAATTTGACATTCTATTTTTGAATTGAACGTTCACATTCTACTTCGAAAAATTCAATTGATCATTCGGAATAATTCCGCATGATTTTTGTGAAATTGTGTTCCAGAATATCGGCACTGGTTTCCAACCGTATGTTTACCACTCATTTTTTCATCTGTTTAGGAATATCTGCGAATAGTATGCAATTATTTGTAATTTTAATGGGAAAGGATACAAAAATGAATGGTATACTACTCTTTTGCTGAGGAAGATATCCACGAGTTGATATAATCGATATTTGAACACACCGAAATATGGAATATGTAAAGTAGTAGCCGATGACAGTTATACGCGAGTTGATTTACATCTGGTAATGAACGAACGAAAAATGTCACTACTTTCTAGTTACATTAGTCACTAAATGACCGTCAGATGTCAATTATTTGACGGTTATTTAACCCTTTAATGCGCAAACTTTTATTTTTGAATGATTTTGATATAGGTTTGGTGCCTCGATAAATAGAGAAAAATCTCAAGCTTGGATTTTTGAAAAATTGCGTATTTATCGAGAAAATCGAAAAAGAGTCAAAAGTGTCAAATCGCTGTAACCCAAGTGATCCAAATATTCGTTGCGAAGGGTATTGATACCTTCTCGTATACCTTGCAATACACAGCATTAGCGAGAGCAGTGCAGTACATTGTACCAATCTCTTGCTCCAACACACAATGCGAATAATTTCGCATTTTTTACAGCAGTACATGAACACAAAAAAACTTTCGATACAGCTGACAAATTGCTATGAGTAAGATAAAAAATGAAAGCTGGTTCAATTCCCTACATTTATTTCCCAACAAGTATGCAAAAATATCCAGTGGTTTCGTAGTTATAGAGTTTGCCGTATCTGGTTATTTCAGGAACCAATGCGTGATAAGGGGTAAGCCACTATTTTTTAAATGTCTATGCACCAGGATCGTCCACATGCTTTCTAGCGATAATGCATTTATACCAAAAAAAAAATAGTCCAAAATTGCGTGTATATAAAGGTGAGTTCGACTTTCAGCGCTTGGGTGCATTCTCCACTCGCTCACGCTGTCGCCGGCCGTAATTTTTGATTCAGTTAAATTCCGAAATTATTAGATTTTCGTAAATTCTTGTACAAAAAACCATACTCATAAGTCGTTTATGATTCTGATCGTTCGCTGAAGCAATAATAATGCTTTATGTTCAAAATGACTTTGATTTGATTCGGTATCTCTTTATTTCTCCAGAACGGAACGTCATTGATGACAGATCTTCAATTGCTTTTACTAATTTCTTGACCGCATGGATCATAGTGACATGTCATAGTGACATGTCATATCAGCGCGTGACAAAAATGACATTGAGTTCTCCACCGATTCATCATCAGCATTCAATATCAACATACTTTTCTCCATTAATTTCCTTCTTGGATCAAAAAAAAAAATGCCGCAACATTCTTGACCCATTCGAATCAACATCAAAGAAGTGATTTTATATACTTGATGCATTATTTTTATTTCGAATAAAATTGTAAACGTATTCAATGGTTTGATGGCAAACAATATCCATGCATAATTTTAGATGTCTCTATTGAAGTGACTGTCTCGGTTAAGATCTTTATCAATAAATATTATCCGTTTCTATATCGATTTTGAATGGAAAAGTCAAGTCCCTTACCTGGCCACGGGTTTCAATTTGCAGACCGAGATTCTGAAACCAATTTAGCTGAATTGCATCGTTCATTTTCTTGATCGATTCAATTTTAAGCGTATTATATTGTATTGAAGGACAGGCGAAAAATGGTTTTAAACCATATTTCAGAAACAAGGTTCCCACACACTTCATGACCTGTGTTATGTAATCATTTTCAAGTTAAGGCGACACTTTACTGAATCAGGTCATTCGTTCGATTTTATTTAGAAATATTGAACCAGACTGTGTGACGCTGTATTTACCAACACTTCAACAATAATCCGAATGAACAATAGCCGAATGAATGAAACTCTCAAGAAAAATTGCCAAATAAATTATCACCTATAGTTTTCTGTTGTCTTCGCCATTGATATAGACAGCTCGGACCAGCCAGCCAGCTCAATCGTATTGTAACGTAAATGAAGACACAAAGAGATGATTTTTTTTCGAATCAGTACTCAAAGGAATATCGTTTCATTCGAAGCAGAAAAAAAAACCAGATATATGTGTGTGCTGAAGAGAGAAAGCTATGAAAAATAACTCGATAGAATCGAAAACTAATTCCATTCAAAGCGAAAAATCTGAAGAAAAGTGAAGAATACAAAAAAAGAAATACAACTACGAGCGAAGGGCATTCAATACAAGGCAGAAAAAGAGCAATGAATGAATCAAGGCGATAATAATTTGTTTGAAAGAAAAATAAAATTCAATGTACGTTTGCTACGGAATGGAGATTGGTAATAAAAATTGAAGTCCAGAATAGTAAGGAATGAATTGTGTGTTCAAATTAACAATGGCCATAAAATAAAATTATTGCGTGGTCATTTGTATGACTATATTCTTTGTTCGTTGCTTTGCATTTTCGTATTCGAGCATGCACATATACATACACACGCTCACACTCAAAATCTATCCCACACCAAAGTGCTAAGCACGTAGTATTGCATTTACTAATACGATTGACCGTAACATGATTAACATCATGGAATCATTCGAAGCATGAGAGAAATTTGTCAATAGCATGAAACCATACACACTACTTGAGTCCAATGGTTGAAGTAGCCGATCCAAACGCACACAATATCCATTCATTATCACAAACAAAGTACCACAATGCATTCCAAAGGATCACAATGAACGCACTTGAGCTTAAGCACAAAACCAGCGAAATGAACACTTAAGGTGCAAAAGAATTGAAATCTTAAATAAGAAAATATTATTTCATTCACTAATTAGTATGCCACTTCAGTGGTTTTTCTCTTTTCTTTTTTTCTTCCTCGTAAGTTCACATGGAACTCATTTTTCGAACGCATTCATTCACATCCGAACACCGGCATTAATGTGAATCATTTTTTCCACGGTTTTATAGATTTTTCTACATTTTTATGACTTTTCATACGAAAATTCATGCATCTATTGGTCAATGAAAGGACCCAATTTTTGCCCAACTATTATGCTCTTATTCATTTCAAAATTTGCCATTTGATTCTAAGTTAAAATTTCTAACGATTTTTTTTCGTAATAATTTAAGCATGTACGAGAATTAAATTCTTATCAAATTCGATACGAAGGTAAAAGATTTTATACTTCTAACAGGTTAAATTGTTGTACTTTCCCAAAAACATCTGTCTATCATTCTAACGTAAAAAGTGGTCATTTAAATGTCGCTGCCTCCAGTATCCAAAATAAAAAAAATCGATTCCAGATTTGGAATCTGAGGAGTTTGTTCTATCACTTGTGTCCGAGGTATAGTCGAAAAATTGATATAAACGTATCAGGAGTTTTTCTTTCAAAAATTGACATTCTGAGATTGTTTTGGTAACATTCGGAGTCTGTATTCATTTTTTAAGACGTTTATCTGAGCCAATGCCTAATTTTTTTTTATCGATTTACTACCAAGCACTACAAAGTATTGCATAAAAAAGTGTAATGGCAAAAAATCAGAACAAAAAAATTTCAAGTAAAGATGCTCGCTTTCGATTAATAATTTTTGTAAAGACGATGAATATGTGTTTTAAAATGAAAGCCACAAAAATGTAAAAATGAAGTAGTTTACAATTTGTTAAGGATCATACAAAAACTCGTGGGTATATATGCAGACATTACTTTGAAAGGTTTTTCCATTCAATTAATTTCAATAAATTCTTGGTCACTCCACCAAAAAGCATCATAATGGAAAGTTCATCACCTAATTTATAATTGCATTAATTTATTTTAATCCTATAGAAAATATATTTTTCCAATTACGTGTAGCATCAAAATCAAATGAATGCATTTTACAATTAGCTTTTGGATCATGAAAATCAACTTTCAAACTGATTTGCTTAAAAAAAAATGTTTCGTCTATCAACGTATATTTTGCTAATTTCACAAGATGTCGCTACTCCGAGCATGGAGGGAAAAACACGGAAATGTTCTAATAGTTCTAGGTTTGACATAAATTAGTACACATGGCTGAATGCAGTGCCCTCTTGAAATATTTCATTTCGTTCATGTCAAACGACAGCAAGAGTTTACTTATGTGTGTGAAACATAGTAAATTTTTTTCGTGTCAAATAAATATAATACATACGAAATAACTCTCGCATTGCGTTGTTAAACAGAAAAAAAAAACTTCAATCATTTCGCAATTTATTTTCTTTTCTTTTAATTTTTTAACCAAAAACCTTTTTTTAAAGAAATAAACACTTAATTTCATCGATATTTTTTAGAAAATTATCGCTTGTTATTGAATAGCATCCGATTTCTGTAACCAAAAAAAAACAACAAATGAAACACAACAATACTCGAGGTATTTGTGTGTCAATAAAGTGGAAATTGCGAATCAAAAAATCGAATGAAAACACAGTGTATAAACTTTAAAATTATATCGCATCCGAAATGCATTAGAAATACATATAGAAATAGATGATAATTGTATCAATCGAGTGTTGTATTACAAAAGTCAAAGTGCTTGTGAAATTTTATTTGGAAATCCATAGAAACATATTGGGTGACACCAACAAACTGGAAACACAATCACCAGAAGCTTAAAGATAAGAAAGAGAAAAAGAAAGGAACGCAAATTCTCTTCTTTTGGTAAATCTTCATTTGTTTTTTGATCTCGTGAAAGTGTAATTGTATTGGTGACGATTGAAAAAAGGTCATTTAATGAAGGCGATAAAGCACGAGTGGTGCTTTTAATTCAATGCGCTGTAGTGTGTAAAAGTAGATGGCATGGAATGTGTGTGAGAGAATTAATGTGAGCCAACATACGAATGCAAATAACAATAACGGGTACGGTGTTTAACAAAAATTCAAGCTAATTTTCGTACCGTCGAACAAGTCACGACGAATCATTTAAAGAACAAGAACAAATCAAAAAAGTGAAGTAACCCAAGCCCAGATCCGAACGTTCAATATCCAACATCTAACACGACACCGCTTTTGACGTGAACAGAGGGGCGCATAACAGCAACAAATTATAAAATCGAAGATAGTCGAATAGCAAATAGCAAAACTAATTGAAGAGAGAGAGAGAGAGAGAGAGAGAGAGAGAGAGAGAGAGAATCGATACGGATAACCAAGTGGATAGATACGAAGTGTAGCCACAATGTCGGTGCGAACAAAAATGCTCGGGTTTGTCGATGTGATATTACGGGTGCCGCCAATCTTCATCATTGACGAAATATTGAAAATTAGTATGGGACTACCATTCACAGCGCAAAATGACTCCACATTACTGGACAATAGCCAAATGCCAAATATTGAAACCAGAACAGCGGCCTCAGCAGGCGATTCGGCTGATAACATTTTGTTCAATGGCAACAATAGTAGCACCATCACCAGTAGTAATTTTAGTAGTAATAGCAGCTTAGAGCAATTCCTAAATACATCGTCAACTGAACTATTTGGTGATGCTATATCAGCTGCCGCTGTCGATGACACCGAATTCTATAAATTAATTTCATTGACCAGTCTAAAGTTTTTATCGTGTTTGCTAGGTAAGTAAATTTTGATGTACATTGAAGACGATCTCAAATCATTTGTTATTGAAAGTAAATCGAATCGAATCGAATCTCCGCCCGACTCAAATTTTTGCTGCCCCCGGGAAACGTTTTCTTGAATCGTCATAATTTGTGATTTACATTTAACTACTTTCAACGTCACTGTTAGCCATGGGAAGCATGTTTGCTCTAAATTTGTTTTGTTTTCCTTGCAACTGTATAGAGAGACTTATCTCTCTGTGTGTGTGTGTGTGTGTGTGTATGTGTATACGGTGCTGCACTGAGCTGAGCTGAGCTGTGTAATGCATATATGATAATAATTAGACAAAGTGGCGAAGAGTTGCGTTGAATCGACCATAAATACGTGGTTGGTGCTCATTTCATTTCAGCTCCTGCCGCTGTCGCCTGTCACTCTTTCCGTTCACATGCACCCGTCGAAGTATATAGTACATTTATTATGTACGCTTTCATGATAAATACGAAATATCAAATAATTTACATAACCCCAAAAATGATGAAGCGTCACATTGCCGGAGCACATCCACTTTGATTAAAATAGAAAAGCCGAATGTATAAATGTGAACGCGATATATTTTGTTTATTTTCTACCTTCTTCTGTCAAACACTTGTCCGCATCATGGTTGAATATAATTTGATTTTTCTCTCACTCCTTCACTCCCTCACTCTCGCTCTGTGTGTGTGTGTTCTCATTTCGATTAATCTATTTTATCGGCGATACATAGAAAAAAATATCGGCAAGAGAGACATGAAATAAACAACAGTAAAACCATATTTCTTAGTTAGATTGTGACTACAATGCATGTACATCACAAAAGTTGTGCTTAATGCTAGTATATCTTCGATGTGTCGCGTTGTTTAAAAATAGCGCAACACCATCACCTCTTTACCGGATACTTGTCAGTTTGGTGCTAAAATCTAAGCACTATTTATTTAATATAGAAATTTCAATTTCAGCTTTAGTTTTTGTTCACTGAATCAAATCAGCGCGCAAAATAATGTGATGATCAAATGTTTCTTTTTTTGTCTTTTTCCGAATGCGAGCTATTATGCCAGCGCTAAAATTAAACCGGATGAAAGTAAAATAGAATGAAATTTACGTCTGATAAGGGGTAGTAGCTGCACAAAAGCGTTTCATTTTGGTTTCTTGTACGATTATTGTATTGTTTTATGGCCAGTTTCTAATCATAAATCATAAATCAGTCGTTCGATCAATATTTAATGATTCGACAAAACCAAACAAATCAATCAATAAACATCAACATACAGTACATATATTTTTGTATAATCCACGTTATACACTTCGATTCGGTAGCACAAATCTTTATAGGAAAAATTTCAAATAGTTTGCATAGCATTCTTACACCGGCTACCGTGCGCTGACATTTGTCTACGTTGATAGCATATTTGATGTCTGTCCGGGCATAAAATTACGTATCAGTGTGTTTTAGAGCGACAAAAAAATCGTATCAGTCTGAAGTACAGTCATTATGACGTAGCATTATTATAAGCACGCAATATGTGTATCATTATTAATTAAAAAGCTGAACGAGGGAGGGTGGGTAGGTGGGGAGGGAGAGAGGGAGGTAGTAAACACACTTTGGAATATGAGCTGAGTTGGAATAAACGATTTGGTTTCTGTTTTAATATTTGAAATCTAAAATTTCTACAATTCGACATCATAATTTTCTTACTTCATTTTATTTGACAGGATGTTTCAGCGCCGCCTGTATATTTATGTTATGGACAAGACACTTGGTTATTGTTTATATGTACATAGTATCAATAGGTTTAATATTTCTATCTTATTGGAGCAATGTATCTGCGATAGCGCTGATTGGTGATGGGCCATGCTTGCTGGAAGATATTCTAGCGTTGAATGTGAACCGGTTGATGGATCCGCGTGGTGTTGCTGTTGCCATACTACCGCATCTCTTTGCCCAATGGATAATTGGCAAAATATTTTCGTATATTCATCTTGGACCAAAATACAAGAGCATTCAAACGTTATTGCCGGTTAGCTTTTTGATGCCATTGCTGCTGGCCATGTTACCGTTGCCTCAGCCAATACTCAAACATTCTCCCGCATTTGCCGCCATAATGCCTTTGGCTCTATCGAAAATTGCTCTATGGAGCTCATCATTTGATATAATCAAAACGCTTTTGAATGGTTACGAGCATGCCAAAAATTTTGCCACTAATTTTGGGCTATCCGCATTGGTCGAAAATGAATGGCAACGCTTGAATGTGCCATGTGTGCTACGAGCTTTCTGGACCATCAGGTACATAATATTTATTGAAACCAAGTTTCGGACATTTTTCTGATTTTCATGGTTTTTCTTTTCATTTCAGAATTGGCGAACATTTTCTGACGCTAATGTTATCGTCCAAAGATCCTCTATCCTACTTGACAACAGTGCAAAATCTGTTAGTGAGTGGCTGTGAAACCTTAACTGCGGTGCTTGGTATGACAAGCATTGTATCGCTGATTTGTTACTACATCGGCAAAATGTTCCAATGGTTCCTGTTATCCGAAGATTATGATGAGGACAAATCGATTGGCACCGTTTCAGCGATCTTATTCTATATATTGGCACTACAAACGGGATTGACATCACTTTCGCCGGAGAAACGTTTCATTCGATTATGTCGCAATTTTTGTCTATTGATTACGGCTTTGTTACACTTTTTGCACAATATCGTGGCACCAATTCTAATGTCGTTGAGCGCCGCACGAAATCCATCAAGAAAACGTCACATACGCGCCTTGTGCGTTTGTGCCTTCCTTTTAGTTGCACCAATTATCTTACTAACCGCTCTGTGGTCTCGACATTCGCCGTCAACATGGCTGTTAGCTGTTACGGCGTTTTCAATAGAGGTCATAGTCAAAGTGAGTGCTGGAACCTATTTTCGTTTGAATTAAATATTGCGGAAGTTTGATTTTAATGTTGTTGAATTTTAAACAGGTTTTGGTTAGTCTTGCAACTTATACACTTTTCCTGTTGGATGCTAGACGTCAAACATTCTGGGAAAAATTGGACGATTACGTCTACTACATTAAAGCCTTTGGAAATTCTGTTGAATTTTGCTTCGGAATATTCCTATTCTTCAATGGATTTTGGATTCTTTTGTTTGAATCAGGCAAGTGTTTTGAAACGTTCATTGAATATTAAAATTGGTAGAGATTTGAATGTGTGACTAATATTATTTTTTCTCGGGTAATTATTTCAGGTGGTGCAATTAGAGCTTTTATGATGGGAATCCATGCTTATTTTAATATTTGGTGCGAAGCCCGTGCTGGATGGGGAGTGTTTATGAAGCGACGAACCGCTGTTCATAAAATTTCCTCACTTCCAGAGGCGAGCTATCAACAATTGCAACAGTTCGATGATGTGTGTGCTATTTGTTATCAGGTAAAAAAAAAAAAACTGGTTTGCAGTTGAAGTACAAAATTAATTTTAAAACAACAATAAAAAATGTCCTTCATTCTATTAGGAAATGACATCAGCCAAGATTACTCGATGTAATCATTATTTCCATGGTGTTTGTTTGCGTAAGTGGCTGTACGTTCAAGATCGATGCCCGTTTTGCCATGAAATTATTATGAATCAGGAAGCGGCTAACAATTCAGCGTCGAATTCAAATGAACCAAACGAAAATCAAAATAATAACTTGGACGCGCTTGACGAAAATGGTGTCGAGGTACTTGAGGAAAATCTAGATCTTTAGGAATACTTGTTAATTATATGCTACAAAAACAGAAATCAATACGATAAATAGTAATGCTAGCAGGAAAACTGTAATATTTGCAAAACGAAAGGAGATACAAAATAATTAAAACAAAAACGAAGAAAAAAATATGAAAGAACAGAAAAAATAAACTACACTGAACTTTTCACCTAAATATGATAATATAGATTTCTTTTGTCGAGCACCTGAATAAATAACCAATGCTAGTGAATCATTGAATTGTAAAGTCAAATCAGAAGAGTGTACACACTTTGTATGTAAGTGACTGAATATTTTGTAAACAGAGCCACTGAATGTCGAATCGAGTTGTAATTAAGAAAAAAAAAAAAAACCATTTGATAATGCATATACAAATAATAATAGTAGCATTATACTCTAGCAAGCAAAACGAAATAAAACGCTGAAATAAACAAGGAAGACAAATACGAAAAAAAAATACATTGTATAGTTAAAACTAGACGAAGGAAGACGACACTATGAAAAAATCGATTTAATTACCTTCAATTTGGTCGTAAGCTGTAAAAAAAATTGTGTTATAGGTTGACATTATAAATGTAATAAATATACGTGCCGTTTGATTTCTTGCGGCCGGGAGAAGAACATAGGATATGCAGTTAGTTTTGATTTTCGCAATTCATTCTTAGAAGTTGGCAAAATTGTATTATTGTCCGGTTTGGTTGATTGCAATTCATATCATACGAGCACCAAATATTTGGTTTATTTGGCGCAAAATTTTCTGTGTACGAGTGGTGTTTTGGCTACATGCATCGAACACGAATCAAAGATGAACAACACTGTGTTGTCAACACATAACTGGATTCGACAGAGCAATGAGAAAATGGCAGAATCAGCATTTTGCTTGGTGTTTATTTGACAACAACACTTCAATCCCGAGTAAACACAATAAGCTTCGATGAAATCCTGAATTCGTTCCATCACACTTCCATAAATTCCATGCACATTTTAAATACTGAACGACCTGAGCTCACTTCTTTCGTGCATTTGCAATTGTTGTTCGTGATTTCAGGCCTATTTGAGCTGTTCAATGGATACACTTCCGATATATTTGTACTGGATCGTGGGCTCCAAATACAATTCGACGGGTTCAATACAGCCACCGCGATAGTCTCGATGATTAAACGTCAAACCAACAACGCCACGCATTTTGACGGCAACTAAATTGATGGATGTATTCAATGCAGTGTCAAACATAGTCGTCATTGTGTTGTGTGGTGAAATAATAATTATTATTTGAATTTTAAATAAATAATAAGGTTTCGATTCTGCCAAATAAAATTGTGAAAATATGCCGCTGGCACACAAGACAAAAAATTGCTTTCTTTCGGTAGATTAAACCCGTATTTAAAAAAAAAGTTTTTCTTCCATTTTCAATTGAGTTGTATGAGAGAAAATTACGGTTTTATATGATATATTGGAGTTTCCATAATTAAAAAAAAAAAAACAAAATGTTAGATTCAAAATAAAAACTGGTTCGTGGCAAAATTGTTTTTTTAATTTTGCGGACCATACTGGGAAAACGTTTGCGTTCGAACAGAAAACTACACTGAAACAGAAGTTGATTTGACATTAGCTGTGATGATGAACAAGTGCGTTTGTAAAGTGAGCGCGTTCACTTCGTATCAGCAGGTTTTGGACGAATTTCATTTTGCAAATGATGTTGTTGTTAGTGTAATGATACCCCCGCGAATACAGCATTTTAGTTTTTATTTCGATTTTTTCGATTTTAACAATAATTCATGTAAACGTTAAGTTATTTTGCTGGAAGCTGATTTTGTGCCCCTGCCAAAGTACCTACCGTGCCGGGAAGCAAAAGCAAACAGTGTCGGCTAGTAAATATATAATAATAATAAAAAAATTGATGGATTCCATTTGTAGAACATTTTTGCCTTGACCCACTTCATCTGTTGCATCTCGTCGGATTATTTACGCATATGGATTATTTATTTTCTGTTTTTTGTCTTTCTCTCAAAAAGATTTACATGTTTTCATTTTAGTTTCAGCAACTTGATATATATTATGCAAACAATAGAGTCAAAGTATGTGAAAATTAGAAATATGTGGGCTGTAGAAAAGTTAGTTGAACACCAAATCACCATAATTTCGTAACAAATGGTATGCAGAGACGCGGCAACATGTTGTCGTTCGTACGACCGTCGTACGATCGGCACGTTCAAAGTTCGCCTTAACTGTTTCATAGTATCGTCCATCGCTCAAGACCATACAGCGCAATTTCAAGCATTTCACACGTAACAAATCGATAGCTTTCTGACTTTTGTCGGAGAAACGGAGATTTTCTGGATCCCAACGAAGTTCTAAACGCTCTAAATTCATACAATTCGACGCGATTGTATCCATCAATTGATCGACATGAATGTTGACGGTGAGTTTTTCATTGGTTCCCATTACGACAATTCTGCAAATCAACAACACATCCGCACGTTAATTCTCATTCCAATGGGAAATATTTTTATTTATTCTTACTTGGCATTTGTGAGAATCGGTAAGACACTCATCCACAGTTGATCGGTTATTTGTGGCATTCCTGAGAGCATGCATGCATGTAATTGTGGGCCATGTCGTTGTAAGAATTTGTGAATACCCTCATCGGTTAAATTATCAGATGAATCTAAATCTAAGGCAATGAGACTTTGAGCCGTTTTACCACTTTCTGACCAAGTTTTGAGCACGGAGTCGTTGAAGCCATTGATTTGACCCGCCGCCAAGAATTTCAACGCCGGAATACGAGTGAGAAGATCAATGAGACATTCAGTCGACAAGTCGGTTGCTGTTATATCTAATTCCTGCAAAGCGCATTTTTCCCATTCGACTTGCATCACGTACTCGGATTTAAGGCCTATTTCAGTTAAACAAGAATGAAAAAAAGTACACCAGGTGTACAGCCATGTATGCGCCACATTTGTATGGTGTACACCAAGTGTGAGCCGAGATTTGCGCCCAATTTACATGACAAACCATGCACCACACACCGTACATCATACCACAGAAAGCGTATGAGGATCGGCGCAAATTGGACGCAAACTGGTGTGAGCTATCGTTGCAACGTCCATTCATACTGGTTAAGATGATTATGACAGCTGACACCAATTGACGCCCAAGCTGCACCGAGCCTTATATGCTTTAAGTGGTGTATAATGTATAGTGTATGGTGTGAATTGGACGCAAATTCCGGCTCACACATGGTGGATACCATCAACATGGCGCGGCGCATACATGACTCTACACCTGGTGTACTTTCTTTTCATGGGTATTGCATTTTCAATGTAGAATATTTTGGGAAAAAATACTTGTTCCATTCATCAGCAGACACATGAGCCGCTTAGAACGTGCAATCAATGCTTTGAGCGTTGATCCCGTTACTTTATTGCAAAAATTCACGGCCAAGCACTCGAGCTAAAGTAAGAAATGCAATTTGAAGTATAATTTTTTTCTTATCATTGTTAATCAACTGTTTTTTGTTTGCCTGAATACAATTGGAGCTGAATGCATCGATATGTGAATCGTCGATGAAATTGATACCAAACAAATTGATGACACGTAAATTGGGAGTGGCTGATTTCAATTTATGTACGTTGATAACTTCATAGATTTCCTCTTCTTCTTCTTCAACTTTTTCGTAAGTTCCAATCAAGTGAAGAACCTTCAAATGTGATTATCGTAACTTAGCTCATTCAAGCAAATTTCAAATTTTATTGATGGCACAAACCTCAAGTCCATTGATAAAGTTGTAAATTTTTCGCATGAAACCTTCCATGAAGATTACTTCCGACAGGCAAATGCACATGTACCTCAATTTGGTTGGAAATGCTTGCATTTCGCTGAAATCGTGCAGTTGCATGGCTGTTGAAAAATCTAACAGCATGTGTGTCAAATTTGGACATTTGGCAGCCAGTTCATGGAGCACAGTGTGAGTGATCAATTCAATTGGAAGCTCAACGTAACGCAATGACGCACCAAATCGAACTGAAATCAATGAGAGAAGCATATCCAACGATCCAACATGCAAACCAGACACCTCAGGCCGTAGAGATACATTTCGCCATAGTTGCGTGTTGTAAGCAATTTGACGCCATCGACGACATACCCGCGCCGTTCGACATATTTCACGATGCGATAGATACGAAAAAATATTCAAGAGAACTTTGTCGGGCAGCTTATCGATCGTCTGAAACAAAATAGCAACAATAGTCCACATGCTTTGAAATTCAATTTTTAATTAAAAAAAAAAAAAAACAAATCGCAATTTAACTAAACTAACAAAGAAAAAATTTCACAACGAATACAAAAATAGTATATTATGACGGCACAAAATCGTTTACAGAAGATGTTGCAATAGTCAAAACAGATCTTTTGTTAAAAAAAATTGACTTATCATTGAAATACCGTGTCTGCAAATGGGCTTCGTTTCACAGAACCATCACTCAAATAAACTGATGTGGCTTCCAATGCCAGTTGACCCCAAATATCAGTTTCCATAATGGTTTTACGTCGGGATAATATTTTTCGGGAAATTGTGAATGCCACTGAAGAATTCTTTCTCTGTACACTTTTTTTTAATTCTCTCTAATGAAACAATGATGAAAATGTGGACAATTTCTATTACGACAAGATAATCAGTTCCACGAAACTCTATTATAATTGATATATTTGAAAAAAAAAAAAAATCAAAAGAAAATTGTTCTATTCATATTCAATAGAACGTCACTAACAGACTAGCTAAAAAAAGAGACGACAAATACAAACAATTTTCTCATTTTCCTTTCGTTTTTTTTTTTTACATTTTTCATAATGCTACGGAATTGTTTGTCTTGCTCGACGCACACTTTTTTGCTAGTATATTCCAAAATAACTTTTTGCGTGCGCTACGAGTGAAAATATTCATATAGAAAAATGTGAAATACGCGCAGCTGAAAATTGCCATTGATCTACCACAACAGTTCGCCTGACTTATGTTTGCAAAGATAGAAAAAAACACATGCCATCGTGAAAAAAACGACCACACTCTCACTGAATGAGAAATCTGATTTTTTTTTTTTCAAATCACTGAATGAGGAACGTTTTTACAACGATCGTTACTCATCGGTACATGTGTTGTGAACCAGATATCGTATTATAGCGTAATTCAAATGAAAATGGAAATGTAAACAATAAGAAAGAAAAGTGCCTCACTTGTCTACTCTTTGGATACTGATTATTCGTTTTATTCAAGTAAAAGTATAGTACCAAATATATACTCGAAATGTTCATATACATTTAGTCTTCACGTCAAAAATATGCTATTTAAATTGAATTCCTATATTATTTTTAGGACCAAATGGGCATGTTTTTGCTTCAAGGTTGATATTTTAATGCAATGTAATCATTGCTATGAGTGTGATCAAATAGTTTTTTTTTTTTTTGATTTTACCGATTTTCTGCAGTATTTTCCACTGGGTGGCCCAATAATGTAAATAAAGTCGTGATTCAATACTGTATCTTTATGGATGAAACTTACAATTCCAGCTTTTCGTCGGATGCTCAGATCATCTCGAGCCAGTCCCGAGGTGGCAGTTGTTAAAGCTCCCCACTCCATGGATTAGTAGAATGGAGTTGAAATTGATGTGTTACGTTTTTTTCACTTTTCTTCTCGAATTTTAACAAGATGAAGGAATGCAGGATTTCAAATATTTTTTTCACTCAGATTTAAAATTTGCAATAAACACACTTTTCCTGTTGTAATTATTTATTATGAGATCGAATTAGTAATAAATTATTCATTTATTGCAAAGTGAAGAAATGAATGTTTGATTTGTATTGCTGTAAAGCACTAAAAAGCAAGCCGTAGTTATTGGCGAAAATTTGCAATCATGAACTGAATGCTAGAATTGCGGTCGTCCCTTTTGACGACACATTCGTGAAAGCTCGACTCGTATGAGCCGAAACGTGGTTCAAATAAGTTTTATGTAAAACCTAAATTTGTACTGAACAAATATATATGTTTACTCGCATTAACAACACATTCAAAAATATCTCTCACGTTTCGTCGGCTGATGGCTTGCTTCACTGCAAATCAAAACAAAGTAAACAGCAAATAATTTTTGCGAATGACGCCTCGAAACGAAAGTAACAATGAATGTACGGTCGACAGCCTAAAAAAAGAATTGCCGGGTACAAATTATATCGATGTATTATGTTGTTTCAAGTCATGAAAATAAAACACAAAAAGGATTATTGGAACACTCCGATGAAATGTATTTGTTGATGTTACAATTATTGTCGAAATTATGTTTATGATGTCAGGTCCAAATGTTTCGGATTTCATTTACCATTAAGGATGAACTGATATCTACAGAATGATGGAAAATAAGAACTCGGCGTTTTTACTTTTCCACACGACTATGTCGTGTAAGAAAAGTATTGGGATCGCCCCAGATTTTTTGACCCACTAAAAATCAGTTTTTTACGATTTTTGGCCGCCGAAAATCGCAAAATCTAGCGTTATTCTAGGGTCGTAGGGTAGGTGCGTGGTACACTATACGCTGTACGCAAAAAACACGGTAAATTTTTTTGCCATGTCACGATGTATAAAAAACAGAGTATTTAAATCGCTCTGATATTAAGGTCTGATTAAAATATGATTCTTTCCCAATTTCAATGCATGGAGAATTGGATTTAATTGGAAATTATATGTTTGGGAGTGTAGAAAAATTAACCTTACGAATGTAAGGCATCTTGTCTTTGTTTTTGCAATCTTTCGTTCTTGTTCGTTTAAAAGAGTTTCCATAGAAAATCATCCTAGACCATATCGATGCTTATTGAGCCTTTCTAATTAAAAAGAAATTAATAACATTTCAGATTATTAAAATAAAATATTAAAAATATATGCTCTTTAGATATCCAAAATGTGCGCCAATTTTAAGGTACTACTCAATGGAGCAGCGGACTTGTCGTCCACGCGTAGATTTACCATTTTGCTTGATTTTGCGATTCGTTAGTGGGCGAAACATCTTCTATGCAGTCCACTCGATATTTAACGTGAAATCCTAATATTCGATTTTAAAATTTTACGAAGATATCAAACAATAAATGTAACTCAATGCTTCGAACTCACCATGTTAACTCACTGACCATTCCTTCTAATGAAATGAACAATTGCTTTAGGCTGTTGTTATATAGGATACATATTTAAATTTTAAATCGAAGTCTTCATTTAGTTTGAGATCGTTTGTACGAAAGCAATACGGAATAATGCTCTTTTTGGATAGACAATTAGACATTTTCCGAAAAAAAATCTAGTATATATATTAATATCTTCCAATATGTGTACTAAAATTTTCGAATTTGTAACGTTTCAATTTTTATCGAAATTCTTTGACATTTGACAGCCAGTCTTTGGTACACAAACAAATGTGTACTGTGACAGATACTGTTGATTTTTTATTCTTATTTTTTGAATAAAATAAGCGTGAAAAATGACGGATTCATTTCCAGACAAAACTGAAACGGGTCATGAATCAGAGGAAGCGTCGGAAAATGGTAGTGAGCTATTTGAACATCGTAATCCGTTTGAGTTCATGAAAATCGATGATAATCAATTTCTGAATGAAATCGATGGTCGAACGGCATGCCCAAAGTGCTTGAAATCAAGGAAATTCTTTTGTTACAACTGTTATGTGCCCACTGGCATAGAAGGACGATATCCAAAGGTAAAGTTACCCGTACAAATCGATATCATCAAACATAAACAAGAAATTGATGGCAAAAGCACAGCGATACATGCAGCAATTCTTGCGCCTGACAATGTCAATATATACACATACCCCGATATTCCCGAATACAATTCTAATGCCCAGGATGGAACAGTGAGTATCTTTATATTTAATTAAAATTTACATAAATGTAAAGTTCAAAGTGATAATCAAGTTATTTTTGTTATTGTAGATTTTGATATTTCCTACACACAACTCGATTCATGTGGACGGAATCTTTGATGGTCATGTTCGATTGGAAAATGTTGATGACATAAAACTGCCTCCAGGATTTAATCAAACCGTATTGTTAAAGCGACGTCTCAATGAAATAGCTGACAACGAAGAAGAGTCCCATGAACGAATCAATTTCAAATATACGCTAGATAATCTACCCATAAAAAAAGCTGTGTTCATTGACAGTACATGGCACCAGTGCAAGAGTATCTTCAAAGATCCTCGAATAAACAGTATGCGAACGGTTGTACTACAGAATCGTTTATCACAATTTTGGCGTCATCAGAGAGGCAGCCCGAGATGGTTTCTCGCGACCATTGAAGGTAATAAAAATTCACGCATGGATTTGTACAAAAGACTAACTATATTCATTATTTAAAAAGCGATTCATCAATTTCTTCTGGAAGTTCATATCAACGCATGGGGGTTGGATCGATCATACCAAGCATTGGGACCACTTGAAGTGCAAACCGATTTTATTCGTAATGAAATGATCTTCGAAACCAATCAACAAATTGATTCTGAGATGGACGATAAGTCGTCTATACTTTGTCCATACAATGGGCAATACGATAATTTATTCTTCTTTTTCACTCATATGTATCATCTGATCCATAGCTTCTATGATCATAATGCGCTAATGGCCTATAGACGACCAGTACTGTAAAACAAATTTCATTTCATTCTATGTTATGTGATGGAATAAATTTAAATTTATGTACGAAATGTTCGGATAAGCGTGTTTTGTATATCTGTCAAAATAGTGTTGCCCGATGTCTATTTTTGTATATTGTCAAACATGTGAAGTATGTACACGAGGCGTAGGTAAGAACCACGCAAAACTGACATCCACTCGTCCATTTTGCTCGTAGCAATTCAATAAGAAGGTTCAGCGCTTGCAATTATAGATTTTATAATTGTTATCTCGACCGAAATTAATTGCAATTAAATAACCATGGTGAGTGTTGACAAATTCAAAATTCATTAAATTACACATGTAATGTTTTAAATGTGAAAAATTATGAGAAATACGAGAAAAAAAATCTGGACATATTTTTCGCATTTTATAAACATAACCTAAATGGGTAACCAAAAAAAAAAAACCTCGTGAATGTGTATCAACCAAAACAACCATACTAATTCAACTTGAATTTATCTGTGTTTTTTGTTGTTATTTAGGCAACTCAAGGAAAGGATTTGGAAAAGCCAAAATCAGAATCCGCGACCGTTCACCGTATCCGGATCACGTTGACATCAACCAATGTCCGTTCATTGGAAAAGGTGTGCGCTGACTTGATCTCCGGTGCCAAGAAGCAAAAGCTTCGTGTCAAGGGACCAGTCCGTTGGCCAACCAAAGTTCTTCGCATCACTACCCGTAAAACACCTTGCGGTGAAGGTAGTAAGACTTGGGATCGTTTCCAAATGCGCGTCCACAAGCGTATCATCGATTTGCATTCACCAAGTGAAGTTGTGAAGCAAATCACATCCATCAACATCGAACCAGGAGTGGAAGTCGAAGTCACCATCGCCAACGCTTAAATTGATCGAAAATTCATCCAAATTTTAAGATCGAAAGAAAAACAATGACTTGATTGTTGCCGAAAAATGCGAATAAAAACATTCAAATATTTTTTGAATACGTCAAATCACAGAAAACAATCGTTTTTTTTTTTCGTCCTTTTTACAGATTATTTCATCTCTGCTCTGGAAACATCACATTTTTAGCTCATGTCCTACTGTGGATTTTGTGAATTGCGTCTAGATAAAAAAAAAATGATGAAGCAAAATAAATCTGGTTTAACTTTTTAACATTCTTCCCACTTTATTCGAAAAGTTTCTTCACGCAAAATATAGCCAATTAATTTGTGATAAAAATTCATATATTTTTTTTCTCTCATATTTCTAATTATCATCATTGTTCATCTCATATTTTTTTCTCAAAGAATTGTGTTCTTTTCGGTCTCATTGAACATATTTATGAAGAGGTATGAGCAAAAAAAAGTTTTACGTAAAAATGCACGTTCATCTAAACGAGTTAAAAATAGTTTCTTCGTCAACAATATTGGTACGCTTCCGATTTATATCTTGCCCTATTATCAAAAAATCTAACATGGAGAAAACTTTCACCCATGATCGAAGGTAAATTACGTACTTTGGGAAAGAACTATAAAAAGTAAGTATATAAATTATCAATCATTGAATGAAATAAAAAAAAAAAACAGAGGGGCAAATGTTAAAAGTGCATAATTTCATCTCTCAGATTCCATATTCCATTCTTGCACTTGCATTCATCACTACCGAATGGATGAGCGTCCACCCAGTTGTCAGTCATTTAAAAATAAGCTCTTTCGTAAAAAAATAATTTAAATTGTAATGTTTGTGTGTTGTGTATGTTGTGGATAACCATTCATAATTGAATGTTATACTTAAATGTTGGAAGGCGTTCATGTGTGCTCATCACTCAACTCTAAAAATTGTGTACAAACATCCGTTGTGCATTCTCCTTTGGAATTAAAACTAAACTTGTAGTATGATGCGTTTGCACACAACACTGTGAACAGATAACCAGAGCAAAATTTTAATTAATAGTCAATTCCAATATTTTTCATGATAACAATCTGTGCATGACCTACCGATTACAGAATTGCCATCCGGGCCAAATGCACTGTTTAGAAGGTGGGGAAAATGATATAAAATTGTCAATTTGATTTTTCATGAGATTTGAAAACACAGCCAACCTACCAAATGCTGGGCGCTCCTTGTGGCACCGAGAATTTACAAAATGATCTTGAATCATTGAAGTATTTCGGCAAAATTTGCAGACCCTGATCTTTTGTTCGTGTTTCTTCTATGTTGAAAATATGAATGGTTCCATGATCAGATGATACACAAATTTTCGTTGATTCCAAATTGAAATTGATGCAATAGATCTTTGCCTGGAGGTTCTCATGAGAATGAAATTAATTTTTGATTATAATTCTTCGTCAAAGTATTGCACTCGCAAATGCTTACATGATGTGTTCCACGGCGAAGTTCTGCCAATTTAGTGCCATCACTTGTGTCAAAAATGCGAATCAATGTGCCACGTTCGCCGGCTGTGGCCAGACGTGTGCCTTGAATGTTGAGTGCTAAACATGTAACGGCTGACTCATGCGCAATAATCTCAAGTGGAGTACGATCTGTTTTAGCTAAATCGACGATCTGTAATTTAAAACGTGAACAAATATCATAATTAACGTAATTGTACTCGCAATTCCAAAGATTTATAACGGAAAATAAAGACGTAAAAATATTCGGTCTCACCGACACGTGACCATTCATGCGGGCTGGATAGGCTAGAATTGGTTTATTGCTGCTGGGACAGAGAACGCACAGTCCAAGTGGATTTGAATTCGTTTCGAATACGTGCAATTGTTGTGGTTTCGATGTAAATGTAAAAACTTTGATTAGACCCTCTAATACAACGACAATTCGATCACGTCTCAAACGAACTGCTTTGACTGGAGTATCAAAGTCAAGTGCAAATGTAGGTGCCTTGTTAAAATCATCCCAAATAATCACTTTATTCTGTGGATACAATGATCGAATGCCGCCACCAATAAGCGCTAAGTAATTACAGCGGAACAGCATCTCGATGTGGCCAAGGCCCCCCTCCGAAAATATGTGCCGCTCTTTCTCTTTTAATGGATCTACATTGTATATTCGGAAACCATTATCTGTTGCACATGCAAAACACCCTGAAACGAAACGGAACGAAAACGAAAACAAAACCAAATAAACAATTTTGGAAAATTAAACATCAAATGTGTGTTTCGTAAACATCTACGGTTGCTTTTTATGTTGATTCGTACGCTTGTGCATGACACCATTGGATGCTACTTTAGATTTTTGCTACACCATCGCTCATGATATCTTATCACACAATTGATTTGCATTTCAGCGAATGAACTGTTTTTGTCGTACTCCAAGTAAATTTAGTAGAAAACAATGTTTTGCATCCGCACTTTATCGCAAAAGGAAAAAACTACAAGATAATTCTCCTCTGCACATTATGCATCCAACGCACTGTTCTTTCGGTTTAACTGAGTGGATGTGCAATAAATTTAAGACCAGTGCTTACCTTGATCTTGATTAAATGTTACATATAATAATCCATTTCCGAATAAATTGTTATCACAAATATTCATGGCGCACCTCGTATTGAATATGCGTTGCGATTTGTGATCTACTATACGTATATATTCCCTTGTCGGAGTGAAACTCTATTTACGAATTCGTTGCACGTCGTAGAAAAGTGATTTGTGGGAAAAATTGAACAAACGAGCTGTTCAGGCGATCTTTGATGAATGTTGAAACCGAAAAGGAAAAAAGGCAAAAACCAACCGAAGTGAAATGACGAAGAAGAAAAAAAACAATTAGAAAAAATAATAATGAAAACAAAAAAGAAACAATCGACCGCGCTTAGGAATATGACACAATGTTCGATTGATTATTGTCAAAACAAAAATGCCTCCGACCAAAGTGATCGTCCAATTTGTTTTTATTTTTATGTGCCTTTTTAGTTTGAAAACCCATTTACTGGTTTTAATCACAACATCCAGACGGACGCTGACACAATTTAACTGTGTTGTGGGTTTTTGATTGATTGCGTTTGAAAAATTTCAGTGTAGTTTTTACTATCATTACACTGTCACTTGTCAAAAAGAAGAGAAAAAACACGACAGAGAGTGTATCTCTCTAATGCGTTTTTGTTTTTATGCTCACGCTAATATATTTTTATTCGACATTTCTTCTTTGCTTATGTGTGGTTCCATGCTATCTATTGTATACATGTGCGTGCTGGCCCACATGTACATGTATTGGTGCGAGACATACATAGCCCATAAGCTGATTCACAGGTAATTGAATTGCTTGAGATACATTGGTACGTCGCAAACGAATTGGTTCTCACACAGCATTCCGAAATGAAAGTCGACATATTTCAGTGTTACCGCTGAACAAATTTCAGTTGCATCGATGAATTGTACATTCTGACGTTTCATATAGCGCCCTCAACTGAAGTTTTTTGTTGACAGAATTGAATTGTGTGAATTGTTAGCATTTAGTCTACCACGTATTCCAATCGTCCATTGAACGCTGACGTGTTTTGACCCGATTTACCGATTTCTATTTGCAATTTCAATTGAAAAATATTCTTTAATCTGAAAAATAATTACCGCAACGAAAATGGGTCTCGCCGAGATGTTCCCTACGCATATGGTAAGTTTTGATAAAATTCTGATTTTGATCGTCAAATTGTGCCATCAATCGTCAATTGATGATTGTTATTAAAGTGGTATTCATCATTGGAAATCATTGTTTTCTTATCTTGTAGGACTTTGAAGGACAAGGCCGTGCCGAAAAACTGTCCCGAGTGATAATTACATTGTTTGGTATCGTTGGCCTCGTCTGGGGTGGAATTGTACAGCAATTTTCGCAAACCATTCTCATTTTAGCAGCCGGATTTTTGCTTACTCTTATCGTGAGTAGTGTGACTTGATATCTCTGGTTATTTTAATTTAAATCGTTAATTTTGCATTAATTTTCCTTTTAGGTCGCGGTTCCTCCATGGCCAATCTACCGTCGCAAACCGTTGAATTGGCAAAAACCAAAGAATATTGATGGAGACGATTCGAAGAAAAAGAAAAAATAAATGGTTATAGATACATTCGTGCGTTTTACTTCCCTATATAGGATAAGATATAGTTATGGCGCATAATCTAGCATTTAAGAGCGATATATATATATATATATATATAAACGTGCAAATCAACCAAAATAAAACATAAAATAAAGCATTTTCATTGAAATAAAGCATAATCGTATACGCTGTGTGTCATTCCATGCCGATATATGGTATAGTGGCAAAAGGCAAACACTTGTTTACGAATATTGTGTGGTTGGATCGGGCAACACCAAAGAACATACAAATTCCACTGAATGAGAGAATGAGTGGTATACAAAAATGCACACGCATACAAAGTTTATAAGCCATAGATGGTGTATGAACGTACGGAGAATGGAACACTTAGAACAAGAAATAACACCTTTCGGATTGTTTGCTCGGTGGTATTGTTACGTTCACGTTTTGCTGGTATTAGTTCAGCACAAAACTTGACTGTCGATCGTGGCGTACATAGTTTGCTTCTTCATCATTTTTTTGCCTTTTTTTATAATTTGTACACAAATCATTTCTTTTCTTTGTTTTAATTGCATTCATCTTCAAATAATTTTCATATTAAAATGCCGTACGAATCGATCACATTTTCTATTTATTTGTAGCTTTGCGTTTTGTGAAGTATTCTTTTGTTTTGATTGTAAGATTTGTTTGTAATCGCCGCTGCTGCTGTGGTCGTCACCATTGTCATTTTTTGTGTATATGTTTGATTTCGCATCAAAGAGAGAGAGAGAGAGAGAGAGAGAGAAAAACTCAAAACAGAAAGGGCAACACACACACTTAATGGACTAATTAAATTAGCAAACGATCAATTGCTTGTACATCGGTAGTGATTTGATCCGAAAATTTTAGTGAACACATTTATGAACGAAACACAATTCAAACGGTCAAAAACGAAATTTTTGAAATAATCGCATTGCAAAAAGAAATCCCAAGAAATGTCGTTCGTTAGAATCATTGTGCGATGACCTGATCAAAAATAATGGGACTTTACCATTCTGGCCAGCACATCTCTAATGACATCCAGTTCCAAGTGATAAAGTGTAATTCCAATTTTTGTTCTAAGATTTTAAACTTGTGTGATACATCTAGAAATTCAATAAAATTCGAGTCAATAGCGCATGAATGGCATCGATCATGAATGAATAATTGATTAGAAATTCAGTATCCCATTATCAAAGACAGCATCAATTCGGTTCAAGTGAATAAACGATTTAAATGAAAACATACAGAAGATGGACCGAAAAACGAAGATATCTTCTATTGTGTTTGAAGTGGTCAATGGTAAAATTTCTTTCATTTTGGCGAGATCAAAGAATGGATACAAATCCCATGGTCAAACGTAAAGGAGTTTTCATGTCGCATTTTCCACAGACAATAAAATTACAAAAATAATGCAATCATTTTCATTCCAAAATTTGTGTGTAACCGCGTGCTACAATGCTCTGAGCATTTCATTTAAACGACACGTTTCAAATGTTCAACACTCAAAAACAATTGATGTTCACATTTTTGTTTAGCGAACAAGATCATTTATCTACTGTCATAAGCCAATCCACTTCTCCACACCACTCGAAAATTTAGTACACATATTTGTTGGAATAAATGTAGCTATCGTGAGCACGTTGAGTACTATTATTGTTGATGCTGTTGGCGTTGCCGATTTATTGTGTCTTCGTGTTTCGGTCCATCGTGCGTACACTTGATTAGGCTACGGAAACAAAACGAAAAACTACATATGAGAAAAATGCAAAGCAATCCATTGCGATATTCATTTTCCATTATGCCTCATACCAGAATTCATCATCTCTTCTTATGAGGAATATTTATTGCGTGCACGATCAAACATGGAATAAAATATTAAATACATGCGCATTAAGCGGATTAAACAGCTCCCAAATTTGTGCCTTCTTGTCTAACGAAAAAGAAACAACTAGTTTTACGTTTTTTTTTTTTTTTCTCTTCTTTTCATTGTGTAATTGATGTCATTCGCAGAGAGTAATTGACGTTGACCGCCGATTGTGATATAACTGCTATCCATATCAGAATAAGAGACAAATATTAAAAGTTATCTCGAAACGAGGACAGTAGACGAAGCAAAGGGATCGCGCAACACTACCGTCAATTCATTCTTTCTTTGAGATAACACGATCATTTCAAGTGAAGTAACAATAACAACAACAACAACAAACAACAAATAACAACAATCGGCGAAAAAATGCTACGATTTCTGAGCCGACGCAAGGGTCGGGGCACAAGCTCGGGAACAAATCAATCGGGAGATGCACAGACGAACAACACTGCCAGCCAAATCAAATCACAACGTATATTGCCGAACAAAAACCAGATCGAATGTCGCGTCATTTTGCTCGATGGAACCGATTTATCGGTTTATTTAACAGTAAGTACACCTCAGCCACTTATAAATGCAAACAAAGATATTCTGCGTGAAATAATAAATAATCGGTAGGCACCAGGTGAAAAGAATGGACAGAAAGCGCGATTGAGAGTACTTTGGTTCTTTTTGTCGTAACGGATCTTGCTTTACTCAATCTGCGACCTTAATCAGTGTGATTGCGTACAATTTATTGTTGCATCACGCCGCTGTTTTTTCTCTCGTTTTTTTTTTTTTTACGTTCGGTGTCAAGCTAAATCTTAGTGCAATGTGCGAATTTTGTTCACTCTTTCCATGTCGTTGACAGTGTTAACTAATGCATGACCCACATGATTCGTTGATCATTTTCTGTCGGACCACTTAATCTTACACTTTAACTTTCTTTTTATAATGTCGCCAATCGTGCAATCATCGATGATCGTATTCCGAAACAAAGAATTGGTTTTACTTTTTTTGGTTTTTTTTTTGCGTTCATCAAAATTATTAAAATGGAAGCAAATCCAAATTGAAGATTCAAGTAATTCGATCATCAAGCATACGTTTCCAATCTTCAATTCAATTACGACATAAGAAGGAAAAACTAATGAAAATGGAACACCATTTAATTACATACGACGTATCGTGTGCTGTTTTTGTGCTATTATTGTGCATTGCGTCACATTGAGTCATCTTCATTTGCTTCAAGTTGATTTCTTCATGTGAATATTTTTATTAAGACCTTTCTTTCAGTCGGCACGTAGTTTTAGTGCTTAAGCACTAACAACTGTTGCTTTTTTTCTAGTAGAATCTTATATAGTAATCATCGTAAAACATCAACTTTAATAATATGTGTATGTCTAACAATGATTCTATGTTCACCGCATATAATTAGATATTAATCAGAAATCTTGTATCAGCATAGCATACACGCAGAATATATAGAATGGGTTGTGATTTTTTTTTTTTTTTCGTCGCTATTTGAGTCGATGACATAAAATTTGGGCCATCGGCGATTAATTTTCGATTTCGTGATCGTTTTGTGGTTTCTTAGAGTTTCCATTTGATTAGATGTGCGGTTTCGCATTCAGTGTTGACTGTTCACATCGATATTCTTGAAATTTGTTTCTCATGTACTGTATTTTTTTTGGGGTTTTTGGTACATAGAGTTAAGAGTACTCTCTTTCGCACAACTTGAAACCAATTCACGTTTTTCTGCTAGTTTGTATGTGATGGCGCTGTTATGGTATTGCTGTATGTATGTGAAACAATTCCGTTCAACCACTATATCTTAATTAAGCGTTAGCATTTTTTTTTTTGGGGGCAAAAACGGGTTATATAAATGAGAAATATTTGCGCAATAACTTGAAATCAAGTGAACTTGTGTGAAAATCTTTTAATTCACCAAGCAAACAGTCGTTCTCCCAAAAAAATGCACATCGATTCACAAACATTCTTACTGTTAGTGATCTCTGTTTTTTCATTCAATGTGAACAAAAATTATTTATCGCTAAACAAATCGAGAAATTGTTCAAATTCTTCAGTTGAAGTACCTAAGCAATGGTAATATTATACATATTATTATCGTGTGCCAATGTCATTCATGTAGTCGTACAATAGCAACCACAACGAAATAACTTATTACTCAATGGATGAAACAAATGGCTTTTAAAACGGCTTGTTTCACCCATAAAACGCAAAATGGTTTCACATTCTTCTATTGCTAATGCATTTTGAGAAATTGTGATCATTCAACGTAATCACAGTGAAAAATATAATGGAGCATAAATAGAAAAAAATTTAAAGTTTTCACAGTATTAAGTTTTGAATTTCTAAGATTTTCAAAAATCCAAATTGAATGCAAAACGTTAATTTTGAGGGGCGGTGTTTGAGTCTAATCACGTAGCCACGTAACCACATATACTTCAATTATTATTTTCCAACAAAATGAAATTATCTATTATGTTTTGCGTTTATTTCATATCAATGTTGATATAATATTTATTTGTTTATCCGTAGAAAAAAGCCATGGGTAGTGACTTGTATGAGCAAGTGTTTTACTCATTGGATTTGATAGAGAAAGACTACTTTGGACTACAGTTCACCGATGCCAATCACGTGAAACACTGGCTGGATCCAACGAAAGCCATCAAAAAACAAGTTAAAAGTAATTGATTAACATATTTGTTCTTCATATACTGTGATAATAAATGATTAATCATTGCGCTCTCGATTACAGTTGGCCCACCGTATACACTTCGCTTGAAAGTAAAGTTCTATTCATCCGAGCCGAATACATTACGCGAGGAATTGACCCGATATCAATTTTTCTTACAACTGAAACAAGACTTACTTGAAGGGCGATTGCACTCAAAAACAACCGACCACAATCCCAATATAGCTTCGTTTGAAGAAAAATGCACTGAACTATGTGCCTTATCGCTCCAATGTAAGTATTTCGCTTTCTTTCTTTTTAAATAGAATATAAATGAAAAATATTATATATTGTTGTAAAATTCGTTTCATTCCAGCTGAGCTCGGCGATTATGACGAAGAGGTACATACAGCTGCATTTATATCAGAGTTTCGTTTTGTACCGAATCAAACCGAAGATGTGGAACTCACAATTTTGGAGGAATACAAAAAATGTCATGGACTAACACCAGCTGAAGCTGAGACTGCATTCTTAAATAAGGCCAAATGGCTTGATTTATATGGTGTTGATATGCACACAGTTCTAGTGCGTATTTTAAAACAATATTTGATCGCCCTAAAAACAAGATATATGCAACAAATTTTGCTTATTTTCTCCCTCTCTTCTATTTTTATATATAAATAGGGCAAAGATGGATGTGATTATCATCTTGGTTTGACACCAACTGGTATTTTAGTCTTCGAAATCACGCAAGATCCCAACGATCGTAATGAAAAAATTGAGAAAATCGGCTTGTTTTTCTGGCAAAAAATTAGTAAACTTGATTTCAAAAAGAAAAAACTAACTCTTGTGGTGATTGAGGATGATGACGAGGGTAAAAAACAGGAGCACCTTTTTGTGTTTCGGTAGGTGCACTTATATGCAAATTCTGTATGGCACACACGTTGAAAATGGCTTTCGTTATTTCAGATTGTACAATGAAAAAGCATGCAAGCATTTATGGAAGTGTGCCGTTGAACATCATACCTTTTTCCGGCTACGTGCACCAGTTCGGGGACCATCAGCACGTCAAAATTTCTTCAGAATGGGATCCCGGTTTCGTTACTCCGGTAAAACCGAGTTTCAGACAACAGTTCAAAGCAAAGCTCGTCGAACTGTTCAGTTTGAACGACGTCCATCACAACGATTTGCGCGAAGACAATCGCATGTGTTGCGTGAACGGCAACGCAACGTGCAACGATCAGAAAGTGATTCAGCAGCCACAACAAGAGCCACAACTGAGAGAACTTCAAATATTGAAGACAGTACTTCGGTGACACCATCCACCTCTTCGGTACAAACAACTATACAGAACCATTTGGTATCAACGATCGGATCTGAGAAATCATTCCCACAATCAGTTAGCAGATGCTCGAACAAATCAGTATCATCAAGCGAAGATTTTAAAGCTAAGACTAGCGAAAAGTAAGGCAAAAATTTCTTCAAGTATATAAATACATACAAACCCATATTCTCTCTCTCTCTCTCTCTCTCTCTCTCTCTCTCTCTCTCTCTCTCTCGCTGTAGGTTGGATGTTGAGCAACCATCGACTTCGAAGAGCAGTAAAATCATTGATCCAGAACCATCGAATTTATTCAATACAATTGCGTATAGTTCGTTCGGCAAAGCATCCATTTGTTCATCATTTAGTGCAAAAAGCGGCAGCTCAACCACCACCACCGGAAACGAAAATCTTGACAGTCTTCTCAAGACGATTTCGAAAGATCCCGGTAACACGATCGCAAACATGCAAGAATCGTTGAACGATGTCAACAGCATACGGTACCATAATTCATATTATCTTTTCATGCTTTATTTCACCAAATAATTAACGTGACTTAATTTGGTATCGTTTCACTTTTTTTGCAGTGTGACTATCAATAAGACTTCAGATTTGGATAATAATACAGATACTTTGAAGCGAATAACTGCTGCGGATAAGCCGAATAATCAGACTAAATTAGCATCGATCGGTGGTACTCCACTGCCACCAAGTCAGATGAAATGCAACATTCTTAAAGGTGCGATGAGATTTGAGTGAAATACATATCGTCAATATTTTTTCTTTCTTAAACATGTTTTTTTTTCTTCTTCATTTTCGAACTTCAGCACGTGCAGAAGAAGAGGCAATTTCTACACCAACGAAATTAACAAATCAATTGTTTGTCAAATCGGCTATGAACTCAAATAACTTGAGCAATGTAAATTCTCTTCTAAACGGTGAAGATTCCTTGACAGGTGCTACATTTGTTCCGGTGGTGAGTCAAAACACACATAAAATACTTTTACTAACTATGATTTCCATTCGGCTATGATTTCTCCATTTATTTTTTGTTCATGTATTGTTAATTAGATTGTTTTTCGTTTTATTTATTGCCTTTTTTGTTTTTGTTTTTTTTTACGTCACATTTTTGTTCTCCATATTATGTGTTAACATTTGTATCGTCATATCCATCATTTTATGCTTGTGCGATTGAATCAAAACTGCTTTTGAATATACACATGAAAAATCAGGGAGGTGATAAGTTAACTATAACTATATCAAATTTGGCAAAAAATACCAACACGGGTCAGCCGAATTTGGCTTCACCTCTGTCAAAAGTATTCCCATCACCGCCATCTTCAGCTGGTCTAAGATCCGAAACCCCAATCCAATTGCCATTAGATATAATAACGGATGCGGAAAATCGAACAAATTCAGTAAATGGTGTCACGTCATCAAGCACCATCGATAAGGTAACCGTGACCCATTTTTCGAAAGAACGAGGCGCAATGGAAAAAATCAGCAATCCATCTCTCAATATTATCAATGCGGAATATAAGGCCGAAACGAGTAAATCGACAACACCCAAAACATCAACAAATCCATTTTTAAATACGTCACCCGTAGCCGTACCACTACCAACAAATACAACGAATCCATTTCATGTATCGCTAATAACAAGTTCCATCGATGCCGACCACGTTATATCAATTGATGATAATTTCCGAACAAACGATGTCATTTCCAATTGTAGCGACAACAACAACGATACCAACACTACGTTAATCTCTAAAGAGGCACCAAAATTGGTGGCCACAAATCCATTTACTGTCATCGATGAAATTGACAATGAAAATCACACGAACCGAATCCAAGTCAATAATTATGATGCATTAAATAACTTAAAGAACAACAATATTGTCGGCAACGATAAAGCCGAAACGACGCTGGACGAAAAGAACAAAAATAAGAAAAATATTGAGGTGAATTCTATTTTTTTTTAAAAACCACATTCAAAGTGAAAAGCGCATTCAATATTCACATACACATTGAATTTGTTTAAAGGGTTAAGAAAATCAAACAAAAAAAAAAACTGTACATATTGTGCTTTGTTCATTCACTAAAATCAATTTGTTTCTGTCAATTGTATTGAGTGTATTTTGTATGCGTAAATATTTTTCACTGGCCTTGATGAAGAAAAAATATAAAAATATATTTTGCCAATCGAATGTGTATGTATATATATATCAATAATATATTTGTTGTTGTGTTTCTTCAATCTAAATTTGTTTAGAATGAGCAGCTAAATGACCAAAATAGCAATGGAACGCCAAAAATTGATGTTGTCGAAGCGGCAATGGTGTCACCATGGCTCGTTGATCAATCCGATGTTGTAACAACAAGCAACAAACCGAAAGCACCCGTACGAAAAACCGTCATCACAACCCAATTATAGTTTGGAATATGCATTCAACTTTGTGTGCCTTATGTAATCAGGTAGAAAAAGAAAACTAGCAATTGGAAGCAAATCGAAAAAGTTTTTAATTCAAGCTAAAGAAAAGGAATTCAAGCCGAACATAAATAGATTCCATTCAAATATTTTTTTTCATGCAAATCTGAAAGGCGTGCTCAGAATCTTTATGTTTTTTTTTTTTCTTCTCTTCTTGACACAAACACACATAGTGAGAGAGTAAGTTGAATGTGTAGGCAAATGCTAAATTGAAAGAATGATCCCCGAAAAAAAGTCGGCAGAATTCCAACATAGTTTCGGTGTTGCTTAAAACCGAAGGAAACATTTTCGTAACGACATTCCAAATAGAAGTATTGTATTCTATGCGATAGATTGTGCTTCATATGAATACGCAAAATGATTGAAAAAGAAAAGTATATGTGTAGGAATCTAAAAATAGCATAAACAAAAAAACGAGATGAGCGAAAATTAAATGAAGAATATGCCATTTTAATATTTACTGTTGGTAGAAATCAATTTTATATTTTACTATTTCGTAGTTCAAAAACTGTATATTATTAAAAAAAAAAAAAAACAAAATAAAATAAAAATACTATATTTGAAACGATGTTGAAAGAAAATTATGGAAAAAAATGATGCAAATGTAAGAGGAGAAACAACTGTTTTTAAAACGTGTGTTTATAAATGAAATGGGTGGAGAAACTACTATCGCAAAATAGAAGAAATGAACGTTTTATTTAACTAGAATTAATGGAAAGATATAAAATAAGATGAGAAACAATGGAAGACATTTAAAGGCTATATATTTCAATATATTTTTTTTTTATTATTGGGCATGAAGCACATTCCGACTGAGATTATTATCAGAGCAAAAATGTATGCATTTAATATTGTTAATTTAATTTTCGTATATAATGACCAAGCAAATATTCTTGCAATTCGTAAAAATGAAAGTAAGACTTAATTTCATGTACTTAAACATCAGTGATAAAGTCTTTTATTTACAAAATGAAGATAAAAAAAGAATATCGATGCGAGCCCAAATCCTCTATGTATTCCATTCGAAAAACTTAAAAATCAAAAGAAACTCTATTTTTGAATGACTTATTACTTAGTAACAAGTTAGAGACGATCATCGGTATATGTGACAATATATTTTATATGTCTAATCAATAAATCGAATCAAACAAACATGTTATATGGTTTCAATTTGTTAAAAAAGTGGCCGACAATCAATTTTCAACCACCGCGCGAAATATTGAAATTATAAATTGGAAATTTTTGCGCGTATTTTACCCTATTGCTATTATATGTAGCAGCCATTTATGCTGACTTTTGACGTGCGATAACTTTATTAATTTCGCGTTGGTTCACGATTTTCTTTCCTTCAAAGCAGGATTCTGTTTTCCTATTAAGTCAGACCTATTAAAAAATTGAGTACAGCCGACTGGCATGGAGCTAACGCCCACATGTGTACCACATTTTTTTAAAAAGAAAAAACACTGAAATAAAGAGTAACAAACACGATTTATCTAGACCCCGAGAAATTTTGTTTACATTTTGTGAATCACCCAGCAGTGGTTTTTCGACCAATGTTGGTCGCTATGAATTGATTGATTTCATTAAACTGAATTGATAAAAATTGAGAATTTTTTTTAATGGGCTATAATTTTACCTCCTAGTCTCCTTCTCTCCTTCTCTCCCTCTCATTTATTTGATAGTTACAATGCTTGTATCTAAAATGAAAAATGACATTCGATGACGAAAGAGGGCATTGTATACTATTGTTGAGACAACGGTATTATATGATATTGGTAAATATTTGTTCATTAAAATGAATTTCGTTGATATTTTGTTTATAATATTTTCTTTGAATAGAACCGAGTCCTAAAATGTCATAGTTTTCTTGAATAAAAAATGCATCTAATGTTGCGATGCTCAAACTTCGAAGATTGATAAATTATGGCCCAAATTGCCATCCAGACACGATGAATCAAGAAATTTTTCAATTCAAAAATATCAACGGTTTCGAAATAAAGTCTTCAAAAAAGAAAACATGATGAAAAACGAATGTAAATATGGCTCGATCCATGTATGGGATGGCAGACTGTTCGAATAGAATGCTATGATCTGCGAGAAAGAGAGCGGGCGTTGCTTCGAATTTACAGTATCCAACGTTATTTTTCTATTTTGGGGCCGACGATTTTTTTTTTCTCGAATTCTTTTTTCATCTTAATATTCGAAGAAATTAACGAAGCCGATTGTTCGATCTTACTGTAGAATCTAAAAAAACACGCACACAACCACAGATACAATGCCGTCCAACACGTACGCTGAAGACGAAATTCTATTTTTTTCTGTTCTTAACGTATTACAGGAAATATTTATAGAAAAAGAGAGAAATATGTGTATGAAAATATGTAAAACGCTATGTGGGAGAATCGCTCGTTCTTATCGGTTAACATATACAGAGGAAAATGCAGACAAACAATTTTAAAATAGTTGCGCATGCGCCTTTCCACGAATGATCCGTCGTTTCTAGGAAGGTATAAATGCTTGATGATGAGCAGTTGAAGGCTCACTCGCAGTTTTGGACTCAGTTCGTAGACGTCGACTCGTAAGGTCAGTGAATTTCCATTTTAAGGGGTTTGTGTCTTACTTTGTGAAGAACAAAAAATTCAGTGAATTAAGATTTGTTGAAAAGATATCTGAAAAGAACATCAAGTGAAAATAATATTTTCAACGGAATTTGGATTACAGTGAAACAAAACTAGAATTTCATCGAAGAAAAAAGCAAAAAAAAAAACTTTCAACGAAATTTGTTTGAAAAAATTACTGGATTATTTGTGAATCACGGATTGAAAATGAGAAAAGAATTATATTTCTTCCAAAGTGCCCAGCATCGAATATTTCACTCTAGTGTATACAGCCATAGAAGTTGAATTATTGAGCGCTTGAGTGCTTTTGAGCGAAAAAAATGTGATGAATAAAATTCATTATTTTTACAACAACAAATTCTATGCGTATACCAAAAAATTTTGTCGTTTCAAAACAATTTTTTTCGATCCGTTATTTCAATAAATTTTCCAATAATTTTTAATGAAAAAATTAAAAATTATATGAATCGCATCCAGGAAAATCGCCAGCAAAATATTAACGATAGAATATTTTCTTCTCTTTTGTCTCACAGAAAACAAACTCAATCGCCATGGATGATGAAGTAGCTGCCCTCGTTGTTGACA